AGATTGAATACTTACATCAAAAGTCAGAGTAAACTTTTTAATCTTTCCTCTAAAGTGAATGTTCTCACTTATTGTAGATCCCTTTAGCAAGATCCTTTCTCCTTCTTTTTGATTATGATCTTCCCTTTAGGAATCATCAATATGCATTGATGAATGACCTTGGAATCAAGGCTTGTGGTAGCCGCCTTTAGAAGAGAAAACAAACCCTAAAATCTAGAGAGAGAAAGTGTATTCCTTTTTCTCGTTCTAAAATCACCCCTAAAATATACATGAACCCATGTATATATAGGCAAAATAAAAATAAGAAAAAGGAAACAAGAAATCATTCTCCATCTCTAAATCAAATTTCTCAATTCTAATAGGACTCCAATATCAACTTGGGCTATTGGTGAGAATCCTTTGGGCTTACTATTTTCTTGGCTCCTATAAATTAATAATTGGTTCGGTCCATTAAATCATGGACCTAATTCAATTAATTCATAAATTAATTTCTACTCCACTAAAAGAAATTAATTGCACTCCAATTAAATAGTAAATAACCTCTAAGTCAATGTTGTACTTTGACCCCTCTATGCATAATTATTTATTGGATAATTAAACCCATCAATCCGACAACATAATTAAGATAATTATTTTGTTATCTTTGATTATTTTCGGCTCTATCACGATAAAATATTTATTTGACAAAAATAATAATTTACTAAATAAATATATATATAGAAAACATTTATCTAAAACATACGAAGGCCTTCGAATTTAATTTGTGATCAACCATAATCAAAACAAAATAAATACAAATAACACTAATGCAAATATTGAGAATATAAACCTCTAACTATTAATTACATAACTACCCAAAGTGCCGATCTAAGGATCCTGAGGTATCCGCCGAACAAATCAAAGTAATTATTAATTAATAAAAGAGTCTATACTTCTCTCATACTTGAGAGTCAAAAACCATGATTGTGATAGAGAGCAATTGCATGCGACAACTCTTGCAATATATCTCAATCTTTCGTGGAATCTGTTCAAGTCTTAACTAATTAAATGTCCATCCATAATTACCGACTTTGAACCATTTATGATTACTAATTTATAACTTAGTATTAATTGCCATTACATACATATATAAATTTATCTTGTAATCAAGTGGACACAATCAATTCTATAATGAATCGAAAAATAATACATTTTATTCACCAATTGTATAATGCCTTAATAATAATATTCAGATAAGGAACCATGACTTTTACAATCCAAAATAAGAATTTGCTATGCTAGGGCACACAAATCCCAATAAATATCCCAGACGAGACTTAAAATTTTACTTAAAACAACATTTCAGCATACATTCGCATAATGATTTTAAAGTGAAAGCCACACTAGTAATTGTGAAATCCAACATCTTAGTGAATTAAAATCCTCTTTGTATCATAAAGATTGCACTAATCAATGGTGTTGACACCATCTTGTCATGAGTCTAACCTTTATTGTCGGTTGGGGAAGAAGGATGAGAGGGAGAAAAGAATAGATGGATGAAACATTCATGGAAAAGAGATTGTCGTGTTTTTTTTTTTTTCTTTAATTGAATGAAAAAGAACGGTTCTCAAACACTACTATGTGCTAACGCATATAGGAGTCTTGTCTAACATTCTTTGTACATTGGTAAAAGCATCCTAGGATTGCATTGATGACAAAACCCACTGCATTTCACAATTTTAGAGGAGACAATAAACTTATAATTTATTGTATTAGTTAAGAAAGAAGGAAATATAATTTTAAATTATTTTTACTATTATAGAAATTAAAATTTGTATAATAGGCATACTTATCTTCCCTCCTCTCTTCCCCATATATTTAAAGAGGTAAAAATTTGTAAAAAAAATAAAATAATAACTCATCCATTATATTTTCTTTTCTCACATTGTGTCTTCAATACTAAACAAAAAAAAAAATTTGTTCCTTTATTTCTGTCTTTCTTCCGCTACTCTCATCTCGTGTACCGGAGAGGATCCCAGCTCATAATATGACAAACCAGCGTGACTCTAGACCAACGCCAGTCCCTCTTGATTTCCTATGTAGCTCAGCCACAACTTTGTAGGTTGTTTTAGATTCGTGTATTTGAAGTAGCATGCGTTAGAATTTCATCATGCCACTTGCTAGCCACTCACCGATGTAAACTATTTTAGCTCTTTCTATGGCTGGCTTTCTCAAGTGGAAGCCCTGCTTGTACAGATTTTCTTACCTACAGTACTTACTTGCCTTAACAAAAAATGAAAAAAAACATGACAAGACTAATCTATAAAAAAGTGCATAATTCAAATTCATTTACAAAATTTTCCAGTCTAGAAGTAATGGCGCTTTTTAAAATTTTCATCATAATCTGTAAATTCTCAAATTTTTTATTTTTATTTTTTCTTTTTCTTTTCCCAAACCAACAGAAGACAAATTATAATATTTTATTATTTCTTTTATATTTTTCCCTTTTTAATTCTCTTGTAAGAGTCACGAGTGTATTGACTAGGACCAAGAGTCACGACGAGTGTGTTCTAAATTGAAAGTGTTTACTTGTTTGAAAGTGGGTTGATTTAGGAAGGTTGTAAACTGAAATTTAAATCCCTAGAAAATAGATACACTTACAGACCTAAAGTTTAGATAATTAAAAAATAATAATAATAATAAATAAATTTTCATCACGTACGTCTTTTATAAAATTTCGAAAGGCTACTTTTATCTAAAAATAAAAATAAATTAATAAAATACATTTCCATTATTTGCTTAATTATGAAAATTAGAGCGTATACATTTTCCATGGGGGACATAACAAAATTAGGAAAATAGTTTTTTTTTTTTTTTTTTTTTTTTTTTTTCATCTAGTTGATACTAACACAACTCCTCTCTCAAGGAATTATTTGCACCTAAAAACATTCGAACTTTAAACATAATGTTTGAAGAAGCACCATAGTCAAGTTCTTACCCGCTTAGTCAAAACAACAAAGTATTTATTTATTTGTTTTATTTTTTGTTTGTTTTGTTAGAAGAGATACTTTGCACAAAATGTACAAATGATATTTTTCTAAAGGCTTTGTGGTCTACTGATATCTCATTTATTTTTCAATTAGGGGATAATGAAGATTCGAGTCTACAAATGGGCAAAATGTGTACGTAAGTGAGTGATGTGTATTCCTTGCTATTGAAAATATATATATATATATATAAATATATATATACATGAAGAAATTCATGTGAAATTAATGAATAATGATACTTCTTTGAAAATTGAGATTATTGGCTAAAACAAGTCGAATAAGTACATTATAAGTCGAATAAGTACATTATTTTGATTTTGCTTTCTAGGATTGGCCAAGAAACATGCTTGATAGAACAAGACTGTGGTGGTCCAACACCTCTCTTGTGTAACTTAAACACTGTTTTGGAACTGCCGGTGCAGACCATTGGACAGGTTCATGCTTGATTTCCAAAAATAAACATTAGGAACAAAATTAATTATGGGTTTTTTAGTGGGTGCAACAAAATTAATAAAACAAAAACCCCAAATCAAAGCTAAAAGTTCCTCCTAATCCAAATAATTCAGATTAGAGAGCGGCATGCCATATCCGTGTAAAAGTGCAGTGAAGAAGAAAACATTATCTAGAGATTCATTTCGAGAAAATAGACTTAACGAAAACTTCATTTCTAATATTGGTCTTACATGAGATGTTGAAAAAGAAATTCAGACAAAGATATTTTGTGCAAAATATCTATTTTTTGTTTTAATTCAACTTATGTTAGAGTTCCTTATTGTACTCAAGTGATATCAATTCTACTTTTTAAAGTGGAAAAGACAATATATAACTACGTAAAAATGTTGAATTTTTTATTTAATATTGTTATAATGATATAATATGTTACATCTTCCATATATAAATGTGTTTCGTATTGCATCATTATTGTGTTGCATGGTATAATGTGATGTACTTTTAATTATAGGTACAAAATGACTTTTTCTGAACAATATGAAACAACAACTAGTACTTCACATTCATTTCATCTAACTTGCAAACAGTCTCCTAAAAAGGAACTAGTCAAAATGAAAATGGGGACACCGATAGCAAAAATAGGCAAATATATTAGGTGAAGATTTGAGAGAAATAAAGAAGAATGGCATGCTCCTAAAAAACAATGATGGTCGGTTGGTAATTTAGAGGGAAAACAATTGCAAACTGTTCTCTTAGTTTCTATACAGATTACTTGGTGTAGATTTCACATACCATTTTAACCATATTACGATTTGTATACAATGCGTTACACTTAAAAATAATAATAATAATAATAATAATTAAGTTGACTTCCATCCAATGGAAGTGGAGAAAGTGAGAGTGGCCACGCACACACTCACTTTGCGTGTGTACCACGCGCGCGCACACGCACACGCACACAAAATATTATAATATATAAGTAGACTTAATTAATAAAATGACAGTACTAGTTGTAACACTAATAAAAGTATGTAGTTAGTGTTATATTGACATAGGAAAAGTAAACTGTGTTTTTTTTTTTTTCTTTTTCAAATGTACATGTATTCTAGCTTCGAAAGAGTGTTTCAGCACGTTCAACCTAGAAATGTTTGGACCATGACGAATTGCGTGATGTATTATCTGACTATAGTAAGTTTTCACTACTTTTATACATATATATGATGATGATGATGAACTTGGAAATACTTGGGAACCACGTCATCCAAAGTTGAAATAAATGTAGCCCCACTCACATGTTGAAAAGCTGAGGATGAAAAATAATTCAGTGTGAAACTTGGCTTTGATATATTTACCGCCAAGCATTGAGCTGCCTATATATATAAACCTTTCCCTCCTAGTTTGTTGTCAAGTCACTATACCACCCTGTGAACAACCCTCTGTTCTGTATTCTGAGCAGTTCTGGACTTTCTTAGAGTGTTTGTTTGGTCATTTTTCTTTTGTTCAGTGAAGAAGATTGAAGACATGGGTAACGCTCTTCATTTCGTATTCGGAGTTTTTGGTGAGTTGTTACTTCCTAAGAGTTATGTTTCTGTTTTCCACTTTAATTTCTTTTTGTTTCACTCATATTACATTCCTAGGCCTTGGTTTTGATTTCAATTCATAGTACTTATGTTCCTCTGCCTTTATCACAGGAAATGCCACCGCTTTGTTTCTCTTTTTGGCACCAATGTATGCATCTTCATTCTCTGCCTCTTTGTCTTTTTTTTTTTAATCTCTCTCTACATATATATACATATATATGTATATATGTATGTATGAACTTTTTCTGGAAAGGGTTTTGTCAAGAACAAGAAGTCCATGCTCAGTGGTGATGTCGCCGAAATCCTTTTGAAAAAAAGGGTGACTAAGTCATTTAATTTACTCTTTGCTTTTGGCAAAGAAATCAACACTTATTCTTGGTAAACCATCAAGGGTAAATCAGTAAATTAGCTTACATCCAATATTTGTTTTTGGCAAGAGTTATTAATTGTTTAATTTTAATTATTTGTAGGATTACATTCAAGAGGATCATAATGAATAGGTCAACGGAACAGTTCTCAGGCATTCCCTATCTCATGACCTTACTCAACTGCTTGCTTTCTGCTTGGTGAATTTTTAATTACTACTAAATTAATCTTTGTTTAACCTGTCTCATTCCATTTTTACCCTCGGGATATATGTTAATTTACTGATTTACCCTTCGTGGTTGAAACAGGTATGGCCTGCCCTTCGTGTCCCCAAACAACATCCTAGTGTCCACCATCAATGGCACTGGTGCAGCTATTGAGTCCGTCTATGTGCTGATCTTCCTCGTGTTTGCCCTAAAGAAGGAGAAGGGTAAGCTTCTCGGGCTCCTCTTGTTCGTGCTCACCGTGTTCTTGGTTGTCGCCTTTGTTTCCATGTTCGCACTTCATGACAAGGACAGGAAGCTCATTTGTGGTCTTGCCTCCGCAATCTGCTCCATCATAATGTACGCTTCGCCTCTATCTGTCATGGTGAGCTCTTACACTATTTTTCTCCTATTCATGTGCTCTTCTTTTACATTTCTTCATTTACTTGCAATTTTAATTATCAGATTGAATGCTCAAACCACTGTGCCTAAAATCATTGGTTAGGTAGAGATATTGATAAAGAAAGGTTAATGAAACAAATTTGCAATAGTGTTCAAGTGACAATCATATTATACTTGTGAGCTACTCTTTGGGCCAAGAAGAACCTATTTTGGGAGATAATTTATGCTTGTTAAAGTAAACCATGCCTACATATATACAAGTATAGCACAAATTTATTGAGTTCTTATATCTATGATCACTTTTATGTGCAGAGGTTGGTGATTAAAACGAAGAGTGTGGAGTTCATGCCATTCTTCTTGTCGGTGTTCGTGTTCTTATGCGGCACTTGTTGGTTCATCTTTGGTCTGCTAGGAAAGGACCCCTTTCTTGCAGTAAGTAGTAGCATATATAGATCTGCATAAAAATTGCTGAAATTATTGGTGATGAATTATTTTAGTTTGACCATGTCACAAGATGCAACTTTTTGTACGTATAATTTTATTGGGCGGGGCATTACTCGGTGGCCAAGTTGGTAGAGTGCCCAACTCTCCAAGCGAGTGTGACTATGTTCGATTCCCCCTCCCCTAATTTGGAAGGATAAAAAAAATATAATAAAACTTTAATGGGACTTAGTTTTTTATTTATTTATTTATTTTTATTTTTTTTTATGACCCAGAACTCCCTGAAACAAGGCCCCTTAGGGACCCCACCCCATAGCGCCAAACTGAGGGTAATGTAGCACAGCCCCATGGCCACACACCGGATGAGTAGTTTCTTTGACTATTGTGTTGTGATGATTTGTTAAAAATTGATCCTAAAAAGTCCATTATGTCCTGGTGTTGCAGGTGCCTAATGCTTTCGGATGCGCGCTAGGGGCGATGCAGCTGATACTATATGCCATTTATAGAGACAAAAAGGGTGAACCCAAGAAAGCCACCACCCCTACTGGCGGGGCCATGGAGATGGGGCTCAGCAAGCCCCACCAGGAGAAGCAATCCGACATGCAACACACACACAAGTAAAAACTGCATAGAGGAACTCATAGAGAGCATTTTGGTCCATGTCATTTAGGGGATGGGTGTGCTTTGAAACCACACAATGCACTGATTTAATTTTAAATTGAGCAGTTGTGATCTCTAAACGACAATGCTCTTTAAGAGTTTATCTATGCACACATGTACATGTGTGTGTGTGGTGGTGTCAAGTGTGTGCTTTAAGCTTGTCTTGTACAAGGAAATACCGTAGCCAAAATGGGGCGTCTGGCATGTCTATTGTTGCAGAAATGGAACTTCGGATCACAAGTATTGTGGACTAGTCATCATGTGTTTGGTGGTTCACACTAAAGCAAGCCATACACATGACGAATATATAAGTATTGTGGCCTTCTTATTTGTTGTACAAATCGAGTCTCGCTTGTATCTGAGTGTAACACTTTGTTCTCACTAAGTTGAGAATCGTAAGACTACGTACCTTCAAGTCAAATAATATCACAATCAAGTTCGTGTTTGTATCTATCATTGTTTCTAAGTTCTTCAGATTAAAGGAGATCATGTTGCTCTTTTTATGCTTTAATAATTATTTAAGTATACATTAGAATGTCGAAATTCTTACTAAATATGCATTAGAATGTAGAAAATCTTGAAAAATGGGTAACATTGACTTAGGGGTGCAACTTGGGCTCCGTAACTCGAGCCAACCCGAGCCCAGCCCAATTTTATATGGACTTGGATTATTATTTTCACAATTAGAGATGTGTTTGGGTCGAAAAATCTCAATACGAAAGTTAATTAGGGTTGGGCTTGGATTGATGTGCTAGCAACCTAAGCCCAATCCGAATCCAAATTTTAATATTATTTTTATATATGTTTTTTTATTTGATATGCATTATATATAATATTCAAATTTTGATCACCTTTTTTTCTTTTTAACTTCCTTTGTTTAAATTTAAATTTATTGTTTGTTAACACTTGGAAAAATAATTTGCTAAAAATTTGTTTATAAATTATTAAAAATTTTGCAATAAGTTTTTTTTTTTTTTTTTTTTTTTTTTTTTTTTTTTTTTTTTTTAGGAAAAATTTAATCTGAAAGTAACTCAATATCACATTAAATTTTCAGTGTGGAGATTGGACATATAGTAACCTAAATTCACCTGACTTTTTAATTCGAAATCTAAGCCCGAGTTGTAAACCCGAGTTTAAAAATAAGGGTTAATTTCATCGACACCCCTTTAGATTTGGCCAGACATCACCTTGAAATAACTTTCAAAAATTACTATCAATTAGGTCAATCTTTACTTTTCTGTCGCTAACACTATTAAAAATGTGCGAAAAGAAAAATTTACCCTTATTTTTTAAATTCATTTTAAGCCAAAATATCAACAAACTGAAAAGACAACATTGCACCCATTAGTTTCTCTCGTAAAATATATGTGTGCATATATATGTATATATAGGCTCGGTGGCCTTCTAGCAACGACGGCGATGACGGCGACGATGATGAACTACTCCAAAGGTAATGAAGATCAACAACGATTTCGGCAAGGTTTTATCTTAAATAATCATTCCCACAAACAAACCCAAATCATCATCGACACTGTCAAAACCATAGTCGACGGGGCCACCACCCACCACGCCGGCCTTGCTACCACCACCATCCCCAACCCCCACAGTAGGCATGCAAAATTTCCCTCTACCACCACTAGGTACTGAATCACTTCAACACCACCACTACCAAACCTAGAGGTTGTGATCAAACGGCTACAATCTCTTCTCCAACGTCGTCGCCACCTCGGACCTCCGGTATCAGATCCCCGACGGTGTCATCTTCTTCTCTATCCACGACGTCATGCCTTTCTGTTTGATCTTCACAACCTCTCCTCTATCTATATATACAAGCACACACAGTTATATATTTATATGGATTTAGATGAAGAAGGAGAGGAATACCTATTTAAGGTGGTGATAATTATTGGTGATGAATTATTTTAGTTTGAAGTCACAAGATGCAACTTTTTTTTGTACAATCTTACTGGGAGGGAGCATTACGCAGTGGTCTAGTTGGTAGAGTGTCCAACTCCTCAAGCGAGTGCGACGGTGACCGAGTCTTCTCCCCCTAATTTGCAAGGATAAAAAAATAAATAAATATATAAACCCTTCTTGGGACTTAGTTTCACTATGTCACAATAGGACAAATTTGATTGAATATTGTGTTGTGATCATTTGTTAGAAATTGATCGTTAAAAGTGTTGGAAACTAGTTCTGAAAATAAGTGTTTTCATTTCTTAGCATATTGTTTTTAAGCATATTAGTATAAAGTTAGTTATATCTTAAATGTCATGTGAAACATTTATTTTCTAACAAAAAGTCCATAATGTCCTGGTGTTGCAGGTGCCCAATGCTTTCGGATGTCTGTCAGGGGCAATGCAGCGGATACTATATGCCATTTATATAGACAAAAAGGGTGAACCCAAGAAAGCCACCACCCATATTGGCGGAGCCATGGAGATGGGGCTCGCTGAGCCCCACTAGGAGAAGCAATCCGACACACTAAGCTCGCAAATCGGACACACACACAAGTAAAAACTGCATTGAGGAACTCATAAAGAGCATTTTGGTCCATGTCATTTAGGGGATGGGTGCGCTTTGAGACCACCCAATATCCTGATTGATTTTAAATTGAGTAATTGTTGTGATCTCTAAACTACAATGCCCTTTATGAGTTTATCTATGCAGACATGTACATGTCTCTGTGTTTTTGGTGTCAAGTGTGTGCTTTAAACTTGTCTTGTACAATGGAATACCGTGGCCAAAATGGGGCTTCTGGCATTTCTATTGTTGCAGAAATGGAACTTCAGATCAGTATTGTGGACTAGTCATCATGCGTTTGGTGGTTCAGACTAGAGCAAGACATATCACGGAAATATAAGTATTGTGGCCTTCTTATTTGTTGTACAAATCGAGTCTTCGCTTGTATCTGAGTGTAATATTTTTTTCTCACTAAGTTGAGAATCTAAAGACCATGTACCTTCTAGTCAAATAATATCACAATTAAGTTCGTGTTCATATCGATTCGATCATTGTTTCTAAGATCTTCAGATTAAGGAGATCATGTTGCTCTTTTTATGCTTTAATAATTATTTAAGTATACACATTAGTATGTCCAAATTCTTATTAAATATACATTAGAATGCGGAAAATCTTGAAAAGTGGGTGCAACTGACTTAGGGGTGCATTTTGGGTTGGGTAACTCAAAACCAATCCTAGCCCAGCTCGATTTTTTACGGGCTTGGGCTAGTATTTTTACAATTAGGGTTGGATTTGAGTTGAAAAATCTCATCTCGACACTTAATTAGGGTTGGATTTTGGTTTTGTACTAGAAACCTAAGCCAATCCGAACCCGAATTATAATATTATTTTCATATATATATATATTATATACAATATATAAGGTCAACTTTATTCTTTTCAACTTCTTTTGTTTAAATTTTAATTTATTGTATGTTAACACTTTGGAAAATTAATTTACTAAAAATTTGTTTGTAATTTATTAAAAAATTATAATTAAGTTTTTTTTTTTAGGAGTAATTTAATCTGAAACTAACTCAATATTACATTAAATTTTCAATGTGAAGAATGGATATGGGTAAACCCGTATTAACCCAACTTTTTAACTCGAAATATGAGCCCAGGTTGTAAACACCCGAGTTTAAAAATAAAATGATGAATTGGACTCAGATTAAATAGTTAAGGTTAAGTGTCGAGTTAAAATAAAGTTAGAATTGAATATTTTATATATCGGATTGATCTTGAACTATACCTCAAACCGGCCCGATCGGCAGTTCTACTTGGAATGGTATGACATAACAACTTAACAAAGATTAGAGATTTGAAGCTATATTTATTGAAAAGCTTAACTATTACCAAACCATGTAGCTAATTACAAGAGCACTTAAGAGAAATGGAAAAGGTAATGATAATAGACAAATAGACTAGTAGAGATAACTTGTATGTCATTTCCCATGCATTCTTCATTTATTTATTTATTATTATTATTTTTTTTTTGACACTAATGAAAACCACCATAGAATTAAGAAATATGACAAATACAGTTGGGAAGAAGAGCGTCTGACAACCACTGGGGCAAGACGCTCCACTCAAAGTCACAAAATTTGGCTACGAGAGCCTTTTTGCTTAACAAGTGAGATACAACATTGCCTTTGATGGTCTATCTCGTGTGTGCACAATAATGTGTAAAACACTTTGTTTTAGAGAATGTCAAGTGGCATTACAGATTAAAATTTATAAAACCACTAAACAGTTATACTATGTAATATGAAGTGAGAAGGGATCGTCCCAAGAGATTGAACACGTATTGGAATTGAATCGAACTCTAGTGCTAATGAGATTGTAAGGAGAGTTGGTTTGGTTTGTTTTAAACTACAATTTGAACTTAAAAACATGCAAGATAATTAAACTAAAATGATTAGGGTGAAAGAGATAGGAAAAGAGTCTTAGGGCATAGGAATCACCGATAAGCTCGTCACTAAACCACAAGTCTTTGTCTAATTAGGGGAAAAATCATGTTGTAACCCCCAAGTGTGTGTTACCAATTGCAATAAAGAGTATGCATATCAAAACCAAGCATGAATTGTCTACTTAACTTCAAGTATGATTAAAATATGTAGTGTAATTCATCAAATTCAAGCACACACCATCAACTTAACCAACAATTGTAGCACACATCAATCTAAAGAATAATGCAATTTGCAACAATAAGCCATAAATTATCAAATTCAAGCATGGATTGCATACCTAACTACAATTGAAATGCAATTAAACTACAATTAATCTAAGACAATGAATTTAAAGCAATTAAACTAAAGATGTAGTGCAATCCATCAAGCATAAGCATAATCCAAGCCATCAAATTGATCAACAAATGCCCCCAGTGAAATCCATGCATAACCCTCATTAAATTCTCAATTAATCACACATAGACATGTGATAAGCGCTGAATATTATAT